TCCCCAGCCAGCCTTGCTGGCTGGGGAATTCTGGGAGTTGAAGTCCGCACATCTTCAAGTTGCCAAGGCTGAGGAACACTGCTCTAAGTGATTCCAAAAAAGGGGGGAAAGGTTTTGCTCCTTCTTCCAGAAGAGACAGAGAGGAGGTAGGAGAAAAAGACCACCGTGCTGCTGTCTTACCTGAATTAGGATCTCTGCAGCCAGCTCCTCGGCTTTGGGGGGCGCCACGTTCTGAATGCGGATAAACTGGCTCGCGGTGGGGGGAACTGGGGGGTTCGTCTTCCTCTCCTGCGGAGGCAGCCCCACGCCAGGAGGGCTCAAATTCGAGTCCAAGCCTTTCGCCTGCTGCAACGCGGACGCTGTCCCTGCCGCAGGCGCCCCTCCCGGGGCTGTCTTCAGCACAGAGGTGGGGGGTGACTCTGCCTCGCCGGGAGGGTTGGCAGAGGGGGAAGCCTTGTGTGCAGAATCCGCTCCTACCCGGTCACCGCTGGGCTCAATCTGGGCTTCCATCATGGACATCTTCAAAATGTCCGCCACCGCCGTCTTTGCAGCCACCTGGCCAGGAAACAGGGGCGGGAGGGGCGGCGCTACCTTGGACACCGTGGGGGGCTGATGCCCTTCAAAAGTGATCTTTGTCACAGAAGATCCTTGGGTTATTATGGGCTGGTGCACCTGAAAATCAAAGAGGGGGTGCGGATGTTACAGGTGGATTAACTAGTCGGCGTGGCTAAAATCACATCTCTGCTGTTATGCCAGGCTTCATACACACCGGTACTGCCGTCAGGGATACGAGAGGGTCAGAAACACAGCAGTTTTCAGACAGAAGCTGCAGCAGCCCAAATGGGGACTCCTAATAAAGTTGCCAAGGTAGCTTTCCCAGACGGAGGAGTGCCAGTTTGGTAATCACGTCGAGAAGGCTCATGTTCCTTTGGGATTTAGCATCGCCCGGCCATAACTCTCTGTCCAGGTTGATTGATTTATATTTATTACATTTATTACATCAAAGTTCAACAGGGCTGGAGGAAAAAGGCTTTTTAAAAAGATTTTTTATCCCTTTATTATTTTTACAAATAATTCAAGGCAGTGAACATACCTCATACTCCTTCCTCCTCCTGTTTTCCCCACAACAACAACCCTGTGAGGTGAATTAGGCTGAGAGCGAGGGACGGGCCCAAAGTCACCCAGCCGGCTTTCGTGCCTAAGGCAGGACTAGAACTCACCGCTTCCTGTTTTCTAGCCTGGGGCCTCCAACACTAGACCAAACTGGCTCTTTGGGAAGTGTGCGTGGTGACTGAATTTTCCCCCAATTCAGTTGCCTTCTTTCCATCCAGGTTGGACCCCGCCCCACCCTCCACCCCCCAAAATGAGAGGGCTTTTGGGAATGAGAATTGCTAAGCCAAGGGTAATGTAAACTACAAAGGAAGACGTACAGTGCAGATCCTTACATTGCCACGGATGTTTGTCTTTACTTCCCATAGAAATTTAAAAGAAGTATTTTGGGGGATGGAAATCAGTAACTTTATAAGGGAGGGAGACTGGAAATCAATCCATGCAATGGTATTTGCAGAGATTCATCTATGAAAAGGGCAGGGAGTTGCTGGATTAACCCACTGTTGTGCTGGTTACCATATATGTAACACAGTTAATGAATGAACCCATTTTACAGGTATGCAGCACTGAAATGAAAACAAGGCAAACAAGCTTGGTTTGTACAACTTGCTACGCTACAAATATGCTAACCAAGCTTGCTTGCTTGCTTGCTCTCTTTCTTTCTTTCTTTCTTTTTCTTTCTTTCTTTCTCTCTCTCTCTCTCTCTCTCTCTCTCTCTCTCTCTCTC